AGTCGCGGTGAGTGAGCGGCTTGTTGTTGCTGGGCCGTTCAAATATATTGTTTAGACCCACTGAATATCTGTATCAAAAAATACATCAGCAATTTGTATGTCATCTTTGAAAGAGCTAGGAGGAGGGCGACAGTTCTCCTCGTAACATGGGGGAAACAGAGAGAATGATAAATTAAATGAATGTGTACTGTGCATAATTAATAGTTGCAGCAAAAAGTCAAGCCGAACAATAATAGATATGCATACAAAAAATATAAAAATTTTAAACTGTATGTGTGAATGTCAAATGGGATAGCGTTTCGGGCTGGTTTAATATTAAGGGCCGTCTATTTACCGCTAGAAGCTGCAAGATCTTATTCCATTTGTCTCTACTGCGATTTAGCATTAATTATTTTGCTGATTAAAGCTGTATTCTTGTTAATATTTTTACGTAAAATGAATTCTAGCACACTCACACACACAAACACATACACGCGCACTGTTTTCTCGTTTATTCACTCAAGCTCTTGAGGATGGGATATTTCTATGTGAATTTTTTGCGCTTCACTTTTGTGCCACAATCTCATCGTCCGATTGTGAATTTTACAAGACTGCCGCACAGAAATTATGGCGCATTATTATCACTCTGATTTTTGGTTAACCTTTTCTTCAAACACACTGCACATCAGGGGCTAGTTGAATTATAAATTATTATTTTTGTGAAATATTTGTTCACGCAACGTCGCTGCTAGAAGTAGTGTTGCCAGATGGTCCAATATGTTATTTTTTTAGTATCGATGTAAACATTTGTCCAAACCAGTCTTATCGATTTATACATATTATTATATGGCGATCAATTGATTTCTGACCCAAAGATTGCCTATTTATATAGTGACTATTTTATTGTATACATTAATAAATGACTATTAATATTTGAGTTTTGCATCATAAAAATATTTGTTTGCAAGTTGTTAAAATTTAAGTAACTGATATTGTCCTGGAAAGTGAACTAACTGTTAAATATCGACTTGAGTGATCGATTAATTTAGAGTTTGTAAATTTTATTTTTCTTAAATTGAGTATTGTGGAAACGTCATTTATTTTATTTGATGCCTTTTGTTGGCCTATCTCTAAATCGGCCACGGATTAAATTTTATCGATAGAGATAAGAATATTTGAAGTATAAATATCGGAATAGGCTTGCATCACTAAATTGCTGATGGCAACTCTTAAATGCGATTTTTTGTTTATAAAATAAATAACTTGTTAAAAGTTGACACACATAGGAGCTGTCATGAAAATAATAATCAAAGTGCTCAAGGGCAAAGATTGCACTCTTGAGGTAGGTTTTTATTTCCTTTACATGCTAAGCAATACTGAAAAGTATTTCCATTTTTGGCCAGGTGTCGCCGACGTCCACGATTCAGGAGTTAAAAGAAAAAATAGATGTCGCTCTACAAATTCCCTCCACAAATCAGAAGCTCCTATTGCTTGGCCGACCATTAAATAATGACCAGACAATTGCATCCTATCCGAACATCAAAGAAGGCACTAAACTCATTCTTGTCGTGATGAAGCCTGGATTACGGGACTGCATTCATCGTGCATTTCGCAAATACTATACGGAAGCTCAAGCGGACCGGCTGACCAACGAATTCATGACAGATTTCGAGGCAAAATTGAAGGAACAGAGTTTGGATGATTTGGAACGTTTCGCTGATAATTGCTTATAAATCTGATAAATCTATCAACATATTGACGCTGAAAAGAACACATATACTCGATTTTATTTCATTGTTTTCCGAGCATTTTAGTAAAAAAAAAAATGACTGAATTTATTTGTCATACCCGATTCGACTTTAATTTCGAACAGCGTGGCAACTCTGTGCTTTGCATTGGCAATTGAGTGAGTGTCAGAAATGCAGGCGTGCAATTTTCTTAGCCGAGTTGTTAACTCTACGAAGCCGAACGTGCGGTCTTTTTCCAGAACCCTTGGAGCTATGGTTAAGGTAGGCAGAGCGCTTATCATTACTCGAAATGAATTTGCAAACCATTTTGTAAAAAATGTAAAAATTACATAAGCATATGTATGTATGTAGCCTCATAAATATTGATTGCGACGGCAGAGATGTCATAAAGTGCACTGTATCAAGGTTACATCAGTTCTATTACTGTTAATGTGTTTGTGTATGTTCTTCAGGTTGGAGATAAAGTCCCGTCTGTGGACCTCTTTGAGGACTCCCCAGCGAATAAGATAAACACCGGCGAGCTAACAACTGGCAAGAAAGTGATCTTTTTCGGTGTGCCCGGTGCTTTTACACCTGGCTGTTCGAAAGTAAGCTTTCCGACGAAAAGGTCGATTGAGACTATTATGATATAATGAATTGTCCACAGACTCATTTGCCGGGCTACATAAGTGGAGCAGACTCTCTTAAAGCCGAACAGGGTGTGGATGAAATTGTTTGCGTCTCCGTCAACGATCCGTTTGTGATGTCCGCCTGGGGCAAGGAGCACGGAGCAGCTGGCAAAGTACGAATGCTAGCGGATCCTGCTGGACTCTTTGCGTCTGCATTGGATGTGAATATCGATCTTCCTCCATTGGGTGGTGTACGATCCAAGCGTTACTCCATGGTCGTGGAAAACGGCGAGGTTAAAGAGTTAAACATCGAACCCGATGGTACTGGCCTCAGCTGCTCGCTGGCCAACAACATTGGTAAGAAGTAAAAATGAATCACACAGTAATAATAGTGCCGAAATATCATGTTTTCAATTACTAAACAGCTATGTAGGGATTAAATAAAAATGCAATTAGATGAATTATGCGTAATGAATGATTTTGTTTAATATCTAGTTGGATTAAGGTGTAAATTTTATCTCTAGCGGTTGTCTGTGTTGGGCGCAATCTTCTGGGATAGCAGCTTGCCATAGCCGCCTCGTCCTGCATCGTAATCTGTTCTATATTCGTCTCGAACCTGTCCGCCGGTTTTGCCGCGTCCATATTGCCGGCCCTCAATGAATCCCGCGTCCCAGTCCACACGAATCAGTCGATCGTCCAGTCGCGTACCGTTCACAAATCTGTAAAGTAACTTTGTAATTTTAGTAACTCTGCACAAATTTGTTAATGTTTATTGGAATTGACCTCATGGCAGCTTCTGCTTCGGCTCGCGTGTAATATTCTACAAAGCAGAATCCACACGGGGTCTTCTTATATTTGTCCAGGCCCATAACTATGATTCGCACATCGCCGCAGCGCGAGAAGAGCTCGTGTATTTGCTCCTCGGTTGTGTAAAACGATAAGTTGCCTACATAGAGTGTACTGGAGTCGCGCAATGACCGCTCTTGTTCCGACCGTGAGCCCTGAAAAAAGTATGATCAATATCATAAATTTAGAAAGGACATATCACAGAAAATCTACTTACCTTGAAGTGCTGATCACGATATGAGCTCAAATCTATAGACGCACTCATATTATTTTTCAATTCGACTAATAAAACAATGCAGACATAAATTGTTAAATTTTTTTGCTTAAAAGTAATGCCAGTGTGCACACACTATTAAATTGATAATGATGGAGTAGCCCTTTGCTACAAAGCCAGTATAATTTTCTATTGAATGGTCACACTGTCCTCATAAGAAAAAGCGTAGCAAAACAAAATCCACTTTCTGCGGCTAAGTAAAAAAAAAAAACAAAATTAACTCTAGAACTGCAGCTTTAAAAGTATTGGGAAAAACAAAGTACTGCTGGTAGCCAAAGTTAATAAAGTGAATTGTTTACAATGACACGGGGTCTAGAAAGTAATAAATGAATTGTATGTTGCTCGAAAATAACTTGCATATGCACACACTGTTCTATAAATATGCGCAACCAGGGCTACGTACAACTTACCTATTGCTTTTAGTTCTTGTGGGCACACTCGCTTAAGAAACAGCGTAGCAAAACAAACTAAAATCGGCTGCCAAGCTGACAAAACAGAAAAAAGTATTAAATGCATACTTCTCATACGAATATCGCCATTAAAAGGCAACTCCGCTATCGGGGTGATGTCAGCGGCAACATCAGTCATATTGAGGTACTTCCGGCAGAAGAAGCCCACAAACTGCCAAAGGTCAAGTCGCCAACAGCTGCGGATGACGTTGGCGTTGCAGCAATGAGTACTCAGCACCGACTCTTTAACGGTAAATATGACGAATAGCTGAATCTATGAGTCTATCTGAATGCTTTCGCTCACAGCCGGCTCAGAGACTAGCACATTTTATGACTTCTTCAAAGTGGAAATGACGCGCGGCTATATGTTAGAGCATGACGAAGAGCGGTATTCTGCACGCCGGCAAAAGATTTACAGCTTCATGCGCATTCCGCGAGATCTGGAGCGCTTTATGGTCTACGGAATAATGCAATGCGCTGACTCCTTCCTCTATATCCACACATTTCTGCCGGTGAGATTTTTACTAGCCGTGTGGTCACTGCTGACACGGACTGTTGCTCGGATTCTTCGAATGCGTGGCGGCGGTCAGCGCCTGCTGTCTCCTGCAGAGATTTGTGATTTGCTCAAGGGCGCCATTTGGATAACGGTGACATTGATAATGCTGCTCGTGGACACGAATCGCGTCTATCACATCATCAAATCGCAGTCAATAATCAAGTTGTATATATTCTACAATATGCTCGAGGTGGGCGATCGCTTGCTCTCCGCCTTTGGACAGGACACAATTGATGCGCTTTTCTGGACGGCTACGGAGCCAAAGAACTCAAAACGTGAGCACTTCGGCGTGCTAACACATATTCTCTTTACTCTTATTTACGTGTTCCTGCACAGTGGACTCATCATGTTTCAGGTTTATCGAAATTCGAAAATTCCCCTCATGACACGTTTCCTAAATAGCAGTTCTATCACTCTTGCAGGCAACCTGTCTAAATGTAGCCGTTAATTCGAACAACAAGGGTCTGCTCACCATTATGATATCGAATAATTTTGTCGAGCTCAAGGGATCGGTATTCAAGAAGTTCGATAAGAACAACCTCTTTCAGTTGACCTGCAGCGATGTGCGCGAACGTTTCCATTTAAGTGTGCTGCTGTTCATTGTGATGATACAGACGATGAAGGAGTTCGACTGGAGCATCACCCAGTTCTGTGTCATGTTGCCCGACTGCTTTGCCGTGCTCTTCACCGAAATACTTATTGACTGGGTGAAGCACGCGTTCATCACGCGATTCAACGAGCTCCCCGAAAGCATCTATCGGGAGTACACGACGAGCTTGGCTTACGACATGACGCAGACGCGACAGAAGCACGCCTTCTCTGATCACTCGGACCTCGTGGCACGGCGCATGGGCTTTATACCATTCCCGCTGGCTGTGGTACTCATCAAAGCCATCTATACGGCGGTGTCCTTTCACAATTTTGCCGCCTGGCTACTCTTTCTACTCGCCTATATATTCGCACTGGGTCTACGCATTTGCTTGACTATCTGCGCTCTAGGGAAGGCGTGCAAACTAATGAAGGAGCATCAGACGGAAAGGAATACTTCCACGCCCAGCAGCATGACCAATGTGCCCGTGATTGGAGCAACGCCTGCTGGCTTACCCACCTCCAATGTGCAATTGCTAAACAACAACAATAATGTCAACAGCAGCACCAACAACGGATCTTCCTTCAAGCCAACAAATGCGGCCACTTTACCTTTGGAGCCAGTTTTGAATTTCTCGCGTGCCACCTCGACCTCCACACCCATGAAGGCATCCTGCGAACAGGAGTTGGATGTGACCAATTCGCTGGAGTTGGGTGCCACTGCGCTGTTCTCCAACAGCGACGTTGACCTGGATGATGTCTGCCTCAATGAGCAGGTGACGAATGTCAATTCAAATGCCAATAATCAGGAGGTCTATCAGGATGAGGAGCTGGCACGGAGCGAGCCGGACCTAATGCAGCTCAGCGATGCCGTTGGGGCTGTGGCCAGTGTTACTGCTCACCTAGACCGCGCCAAGGGGTTGCCCAAGCGCACCCACAAGCGCTCCGAGTCGGAGCCATTTATGGGCGTGCAGAGTCTTAACGAGAAGCAAACTACTTCAGTTTCTGGCAACGCAACGTAGCTTTAACTGATTAGTTAATTACTAATTTTTATTTTGCGTGTGCTGCTGTAAATCGGGATTGGAAATTGGATTATGTGTATGTATGCCTAAGTAAAATGAATTTATATATGTATGCGTTGTATGTTATCAGTTAAGCAGAGCAGGCTGACTATGTTCTCTATAGGCTTAAGCGTTCTTTTCACTTTAGGTATGATTACTTTAATTCATGCAATAACAAAGAAAAATAGACGAAATTATCTATCGTTTCAAGTGAATTTCTATTTCAATTAAAATTTTTCCGCTAATCAGGGCTGAAGACGGTATGTGGGAAAATTTCCAGCACTGGCGCTTGCTGTTAGTTTACATTACCATCGGTGGATGTCAATGATTGATTGATAGACAGAGCTGTTAGTTAACATTTAAAGCTAGCTTTTCATTCTGTCTGCACTGCAATGCAGTGGCAGACTATTTAAATATGACATCTATGATTTTGTTTTCAAATGTAAATTTTCACTATGACTGTAAGACAATTTGCGATCGGCTTTGCTGACACTTAACAGACGTAATTGCACTGTTAGCTGTAGTCAAAGAATAATATAATTTAGCATACTTCTTAGGCACTGATTATGTATTTATTTATTGTTAACATTTTTCTTAGAATAAATTATTATTAGTATTAAAAGTTAAAATTTGTTGTTCATATAAAGTCATATTCAACTTATATTACTATTCAGATAATTGAATATTGTTGATTTTACTCGGAAAGCTGTCATCAATTATAGGTCGCACATTCTCACAATTTAACCGGAAATGGCTGTCAACTTGCTCGACTATTAGGTTAACCTTTAGCCGTTCATTGCCTGCATATTCGTGTGGGCTGTCCAATATCGCCCAGCCATTGCTTACAATGCTCCAACGATTTCCATGGTCCGCCAACTGACTCTATGGCAACCATGAGTCAGTGCACCCTGGCTAACCTGGGAGCTAACTCATTTA